AACCCAAAGGTTGCGTCTTTGAATCTCTTTTGATTTGTTTTTGCTCACTGCACCTGGAAATCAAAGGCGGTCTCCCGTCCCAGTACTAACCAGGCCCGACCCTGGTATGGCAACAAGCATATTTTTTTACCCCGTTTTCTCCCCAAATTAGGTCCCTTGGCTCATCTCTGCAACTCCTCAATGGGCTCGGGAGAGGCGTGTGTCCTCCGAAACATGACCCGCCTGGCTGCCTACTTCTTATCACACTGCTCACTTAACCCGGATGTCAGCCGCACCAATGTGTTGGAGGACAACCGGAGTCAGCTTGCAGGCGCCCAGCCCTGTCACAAGGAGTTGCTAGAGCACAATGAGCCTAGGGAAGCCCCACTGGCCAAACCCTCCCCTACCCCTCCCCTGTGCGCCGTCCTATGGAGCTCCCGGTCACGGCTGGTTGTGACACAATCTGGGATCTAACCCCCGGTTGTAGTGGCGCCTCAGCACTGCGGTGCAGTGCTTTTGACCGCTGCGCCACCCAGGAGTCTCGAATCTCAGTCTTCGAATCTCATCACAGACAACTTTAGCATTTTCACTAATGAGCAACTCCTTACTACTTTTGAGCTACTTTGCAACTACTTTGCATGTTAGCTAACCCTTCCCCTAACCTTAACCATTTAACCTAACTCCTAACCTTAACCCCTAGCTTAGCTAACGTGAGCCACAACAAATTGGAATTCGTAACATATACTTTATGCAAATTCGTAACATGTTGTACGAATTGCAATTAGTAACATTCATATGAATTGTCATTTGTAACATACTGTATCATACGAAATGGATGATGGACATCCACAAATTAATACATACCATACGAAACGTAACATATCATACTAATTGGAGTGTCACAGATTTACATGTACTATGTTACCTCCAGGTTGCATTATTCATTCATTGTATTTGATTTATTGACTGTAAACTACTGATCACACAACAAGCACGTTTGACCCCTTTTCTCTCTCCCTTTACTCTTTCTACCCTTACCTGTCTCTCCTTTTTCACTTCCACTCTCGCTAACTTCCATTGCCCCTCTATCTCCCTCCCCTTGTGTCTCCCTCCATCCCTCTTCCTCACTTAAAGTACCTTTGCCTCCTCTTGCCATTCTTTTTATTTTCTCCCTCTTCCTGTCAGTCTGACTCTAACCAGGATGGTCAGATCAGCCTGGTGGACCTGAAGGAGGCAATAAAGAAGCTCAACCAACCAGATATCAACGACATCCTCAGAGACATCAACCTCAACAGTGACGGCCTGGTCGATTTGGAGGTGAGAAGAGAGATGGGATAAGAGAAATTGGGAGAAAAAAAAGTGGGAGAATAAAACAGAGATTTTGACTATCCTCATTTTTGGAATTGGGGTTTGAAACCAAGGAAAATAGTAAAGGAATAGAAAAAGTATAGGAAATAGTCAGAGGGAATGAGAACATTTGCCTTCAGAAAGATTTCACACCCCTTGACTTTTTCTAAATGTTGTTGTTACAGCTTGAATTTAAAATTGATTAAATTGAGATTTCGTGTCACAATACCCCATATTGTCAAAGTGGAATTATGTTTTTAGAAATTGTTACAAATAATAAAAAAATTAAAAGCAGAAAAGTATTCAACCCTTTTGTTATGGCAAGCCTAAATATGCTCAGGAGTAAAAATGTTCTTCCTCTGTACCCCATATTCAATTATCTGTAAGGTCCCTCAGCCGAGCAGTGAATTTCAAACAGATTCAACCAAAAGGACCAGGGAGGTTTTCCAATGCCTCGCAAAGAAGGGCACCTATTGGTAGATGGGTAAAAATACAAAATGGGTTAAAAAAAAAAGCAGACATTGAATCTCCCTTTAAGCATGGTGAAGTTATGAATTGCACTTTGGATGGTTTATCAATACACCTAGTCACTACAAAGATACAGGCGTCCTTCCTAACTCAGTTGCTGGGGAGGAAGGAAACCACGAATAACACCCCTACCTTGTTCCAACATAACTGATTGGCTGAAACGCATTAAGAAGGAAATAAATTCCACAAATTAACTTTTAACAACGAACACCTGTTAATTGAAAGGCATTTGAGGTGACTACCTGATGAAGCTGATTGGGAGAATGCCAAGAGTGTGCAAAGCTGTCATCAAGGCAAAGGGTGGCTACTTTGAAGAATCTCAAATATAAAATATATTTTGATGTGTTTAACACTTTTTTGGTTACTACATGAGTAGGTGTGTCCAAACTTTTGACTCGTACTGTATGTCTGTAATAAAGCCCTTTTGTGGGGAAAAACTCATTCTGATTAGCTGGGCCTGGCTCCCAGTGGCTGGGCCTGGCTCCTAAGTGGGTAGGCCTATGTCCTCACCGGCCTACCTACCCATGGCTGCGCCCCTGCCCAGTCATGTGAAATCCATAGATTAGGGCTAATTAATTTATTTCAATTGACTGATTTCCTTATATGAACTGTAACTCAGTAAAATCGTTGAAATTGTTGCATGTTGTGTTTATATTTTTGTTCAGTACCTGAGCAAATATTGTACAATCCAGGTGTGCAAAGCTCTTAGAGACTTACCCAGAAAGACTCACAGCTGTAATCACTGTCAAAGGTGCTTATACTAAGTATTGACTCAGGGGTGTGAATACTTAAGTAAATTAGATATTTCTGCATTTAATTTTCAAGTAGTAAAATTATATTTAAAAAACTGATAAAAATAAACATCTTATGGAAGAGCGGGGACTGTGAAGCAACACAAACATAGGCACAGACACATGCATACACACAAGATAACATACGCACTATACACATGGATTTTGTACTGTAGATATGTGGTAGTGATGGGCCTAAGGACACACAGTGTGTTGTGAAATCTGTGCATGTATTGTAATGTTTTAAAAATTGTAATTTATGAACTGCCTTGATTTTGCTGGACCCCAAGAAGAGTAACTGCTGCCAAGGCAGCAGCTAATGGGGATCCATAATAAATACAAATACATTTGCAAACATTTCTAAAAACATGTTTTCACTTTGTCATTATTGAGTATTGTGCGTAGATGGGTGACCAAAAAACAATTTAATCAATTTTGAATTCAGGCTGTAACAACAAAATGTGCAATAAGTCTAGGAGTATGAATACTTTCTGAAGGCACTTAATGTTCATTGAAATATTTTATTAACTATCTATGAGGAAATTAAGTAAAATGAACTGTGTCAATATTTTTTATTTATTTGAAAGTATTTAAATGATATGTTTTACTGTACATCTTTGTTAATTTGATGTTAAGTTTGTTCATTTGATGTTAAGTGGGATATGTTACATACAGTACATTGTTCTATAATAAAACAACACAGAGTTTTTTTAATGAAACATCAGAGTCAGAGGAATTCTATACATAATCTGTGACAAATAAAACAAACATAATGGATATCCAACTTTTAACATGCATATACAGTAACTAGCCCTTAATGCAATGCAAGCTAATTGTTTAAGATGAGGACTAGGATATTATCTTACAGAAATATGAAAGCCTTTCCCAGTGTATAGTATGTAAGCATCTGTTTCAGAGGCTTTTTTGTTATGGTGTGAAACTATAATGGACAATTTACAATCACATGATATATGTTCTGCAGAATATGCACTGTTTAAAAAAAAAATCCCTTTTAAGCCATCATCGGGCTAGTCTTTCAACAGTCCTTCAAAGACAAAATGAATGACATACAAGATAAAAGTAAAGCAAACCATATACAACATCAAATATCAAACAATATACAACATCAAATATCAAAGATCAAACAGTATACAACATCAAATATCAAACAATATACAACATCAAATATCAAACAATATACAACATCAAAGATCAAACAGAATACAACATCAAATATCAAACAATATACAACATCAAATATCAAACAATATACAACATCAAAGATCAAACAGTATACAACATCAAATATCAAACAAACACAATTACGGTTCTTTCATAAGCTCAATTGGGAAACCATCCAACAGCCAAAAAATGTAAAACATGGCATTACCATCAGTCTCATATTGTTGCATGTTAGCGGACAGAATACAACTTCAATGAATCTTCTTTCAAACTCTCTTTATGTCGTAGTTGAATGATGTACATTTACATCAATTCCAGTGGACTACACCAGACCATGATGCCTTTTCTAGGATGTGCATGGTTTGGGGTAAAATGTCTCTGTCAAGCTTTTCAAAGCCTGTTCACTAGTGATTGATCTCCAATCTTCTGGTATATCAGCTGGCAAGGCACTTGGGTGATTTTGGGCATACTCCTTATTGTGCTTCACGAAGAGGAACTTCCAGTAGTCTGTGACATTGGAGTTGTCAGGGTCGATTCTCCAGTCTTTGAAAAACAGAGGATACTCTTTATATAAACTGAATTTCCCTTTTGTTTCAGCATTGCAGAATTTTTTCTCGCTGGCAATAAGAGATGAACATATGTCTATGGAAAGTTTATTTGACTCTTTCCATGTATACCCGCCAAGTCCATCAGGTCGATGAATATTAGCTGAGTGCATTGAATGACCATTCCCTTGAGCCTCACAGGGGGTTTTGCAGAAAGGACACTGTTTTCCACAGCCTAACATCTTGTTGTAAAGCAGGTCCTGAGGAGGGCCAGGTATACTGGCCAACTTGTTTTGCACGTCTTGATCTTTGTGAAACTCATCACTGAGACAGTTCTTCATCTCTTCTACAGATGATATAAGCATAACAGAAAAGTCTTTGGTCCTGGAATTATCTGAAGTCATCCCTGTTGTGTCAGTGGTGATGATCCGCAAGGTAGACAATTCTAAGAGTAAATCCTGAATGAACTTGTCAAAATTCAGGTCACCATTTCCATCTGCTTTGTCAATGCTAGTTTTGAGTGATTTCTCAACAGCCTCCTTTATCTTTCCACTGATTGTATTCAAGTGTTTGACTTCCATCTTTGTGATGATGTTGCTTACATTTGAAAGGTGTCCTACTATGTTCTTCAAATGAACTCAAATGCAAATGACTCATAGTAGTCAGTGTACTTGAAGAATGTCCGAAAATCTTCTGATAGTAGGTTCTTAAGTATAGAAAACTGAAAAGACCTCCTTGTGCTGAAATCCACATCATCACTGTTGGAAAGCATTTCATCATAAATGTCTGGTCCAAGAGATTTGGTGATAAAATCTCTCACTGCAGGTTTCAGACAGAGGTTGGTAAACTCTTCAGCCTTTCTTTTGCACTGGTCTCTCTTGTAGAAAAGGTCTTTGAAGTCAGCCAAGAACTGCGGTTTCAGTTTCTCCAGGCTTTGTCGGGGGTCATTGTCTCTGTTGAAAGCTTCATGCATTTCCTGAAATTCCCTTGCTGCATGCCCACAGATGTGTATCTTAAGAGATGCCACAAATTCTGGAACTGATTTGGCAATTCATTGTCTCTGTAAAGGTTGTCCTCAATCAGTTCCAGTAGTTCCGTGATGTAAGTGTGGTGGTAGTCTGTTCTTTCTTTCACCTTGTTTGAAACAAACCTCTTACTGCGGTTTATGATGTCAATGGACATTGCTTGAGTTTTTTTCTTTGATATTTGTTGGCTGTCTTTGGTCTTCATGAATTTTGGTAAATTCGAAAATATTTTGTGTTCACTTTTCACTTGAAATTCCTTAAGTCCACAGTTCTCCAGAGGTGAAGCTTTATGTAACATTTCCTGGACCGTGCTACATTTTCTTCCTAAGTTCATTTTTAGATTATTGTAGATATCTTTGGAAATATTTTGCTGCTCCAGACCTTTAAATGAGAGCTTCCCTGTTGTTTGCTTCCACATCTCTTCAAATGTATTCCCTAGTTGTTGGTCGTTCATTGGATTTTCCTCTCCACTAAATTTCTTAACAAGGTCAGACACTTGCTTGTCAAGAGTATCCCTGTTACTTATCTTAATCTTGTCTACCCCGAAGGTGCATTTTCTTACATCAACTGCAACCTCTAGCTTCTTCCTCACTACACTTTCAGTCTCCTTGCAGCGGCTCTCTGCACCTTTTTTAAATTCTTCCCTATACTTCTCAACCAGATACACATTTCCCTCACTTTTGTAATAGGTAGTCACACTGTCGCGAAACAATTTTCCCTCTCTTTGTAGCTCATTGCTGGCCTCAATTTTCAGACTACTCAATACTTCATCTAGGCCAGATTCTTCTGAGTACCCCATCATGTCATAGTTTGCCACCCTGGTTTCTGCTTCAGTAAGCCATTTGTACATGTGCTTTTGGAAGGACCTGTCCCATCTATCAAACTCCACACACAGGTTGTTGTATGCCTCGGCCACAATGCTGTTGCGGAAACTAAAGATGAAGTTCTCATATTTAACTGACATCCATAAACTTCTGAGCTCATCAACAAACTTTGGGATTGTTTGTGCTGAGCCTTTTGCTTTTTTGAATGCATTTATCAACTTCCTCTTCAAATTGGCCACCTCTTCGCTGTAACCCTCATTGACAGGTGCCATGGGTGGACTGCCATGCCAGAGACCTGGGATATAACAGGTGTCCTCTAGATTGCACTCTATGATGTCAGTGAACTTAGTGTCATTGCCTGTATTTTCCATCCTGCTTGCAACAATTGTCATCTCATCCAGCTGGTTAAGAAGGCGATTCCTGTCCCTAAGGTTTTTGCCATGAGCAGATATATCTGCAACATTCTGCTGCACCAGCTGACAACTGGGTTTCTTCCCTAATTCTTTCATTCTGAGGAAGGCATGGGCTACAATCTGCAGGATGTCTTTCATATCTGTGGTGTTGTCCATTGCAATATTAACAATTGAGATGTCACTCAGTCCTACCAAAAGTGTGGCTAGTTCATTATCATGCTGATAATTGTCAGTAAGCTGGGTCGATTGAGGTGACTTCAAGCCCTCTGTGTCGATGACCATGATGAAGTCACATTGTAGTTCAATCTTCAATTCATCTTTCACTTTGATCAGCTGCATGAAGGCACCTCGAGTGCATCTTCCACTGCTGACTGCAAACTGAACCCCAAACATGGTATTCAGAAGGGTGGACTTTCCACTGCTTTGAACCCCTAAAACAGTAACCACCCGGATCTTACAGTCAGACTTTGTTAAATTGTTAAGTTCTTTAAGAACATCTGTTATCCACTTAATTGGGATGTTTGATGCATCACCATCTATCAGCTCCAGTGGAAAGCCATCCAGTATCAACTGGGCACAGATTATTGGCAGTTCTTGTACTTGATGTTGAATGGCACTGGTTTCGTCTGAGGACATGGATGACTCATATAGCTGTCCTACTTCCCTAAGGAAATGTTCGGTTCCTAAGGAACTGTCTGAGATCTTTTTGTCTAAGTTGGCAATGACTTCTTTATTTTCTGGAGAACGCTGACACATGTCTTTATAGTCCTTCCTGAGGTCGGATAGGCATGCTCTTGACAGGTTGTCCAGATTGAGCTTCATCCACTTGAGGAAATAGGGGCGCTCTTCTCTGGAGCTCTTCAAACCATCAATGAAATTGGAGATGTCATCTTTTATGCCATGAGACAATTGTTCCTTCCTGAGTTCCTCTTTCTCTTGCTTGAGCTCACTCCTGTTCATTTCTCCCACTGCTGTATTCAGTTTACACTCCTCTTTCTCCAGTGTAGTCAGTCTTTTCCAAATATCCCCCTGTAAGGGTAGTTGACTGTTCTTATAGCTTGGTATGCAATCTATATTTGTTGTAATTGAATCTGCCCTTTTCTTAGCTCTCAGGCAGACACCATCTTCATCCACAAGGATATTCAAGGTGTGTGCAACACCAGGCATTTCCTGCACTTTTAATTTGTGTGGGTTTTCCTTCATGACGACTGTGACTGCAGAGCGGAGCTTCTTCACAAGCTGTGCATCGTTCATTTGCTTGTCTTTCCTTATTATTGAGTGTTTCTCAAATCTGGTTACATCATAGATTTGAGCCTCAGCGGTGCATACAATGAAGAGATGAGCTTTCATGTTCTGGAGATTCAGTATACTGCAGTCAGAACCTAAATCATCACAGAACACAAACACTGCTGCAGATGTTTGACAGAGGAAAGAGAACTGGGTCTGAAAGCTGCATACATCCCCACGAAGATTCGCCACAGCCACAGGTTCAGTGAAGACATCAATGTTTTGTTTACCACAGGGAAGGTACCAGCTGATTTCCACTAAACCATCAGAGATCATCCTTCTTATGTTGCCAGCTGTCATGTTTTTGTGAACAAACGTGTTGTAGTTCTGCTGAGAATTGCTTATAACCTCATTCAAAAGCTGAGACTTTGACAAGGTGCTGTTGCCCAGTCTAACAAAAGACACCATAGGGAGGTCAGTCTGCACAATGCTATTCTCAACAAACTCACACTCAGAAGAGCAGGGTCGAATCTGCTTCACAATATCTCTCATGGCCCACAGCATCAAAGTGCTTTGTTCTGTGTCACAGTTGGGCAGCAGGAGAGGAACAGCAAACTGGCACATAGACATTTTCAGGGCCATCTCCTGCTGCAGGAAACCATCTGAACATATAAACAGGGCTGTGATGAGGTCTAGAGGATTCACTTCTGTAATTGAGCTGTCTCGGTCAGTGTCACATTTAAGACTTCTGGCGTTCATATTCATCATCAATAACCTCCTTAAGAAACACTGTTGTTGTAATACAAGACTGGTTACAGGTTTGTCAGAATCTTCGTCAATCTCTCGCACGATCTCTGTTGTAAGTTTCTTCTTCAGTCCCAACTTGTCTATTAGGCCTTGCAGAATTGAGCCTGTAATCGAAAATGGTAAGGATGGTAAGTGTATTTTTGTGACTTCTATAGTCCTTGGCGGTAGCATTGGATTTTATATTTAAAACTGCAATATGTAACTTTTTGGCCGACCTGACCAAATTCATATAGAAATGTGAGTTATAGAACTGTCATTGTCGTTGAAAGCAAGTCTAAGAAGCAGTAGATCTGATCTACACTACTGGTCAAACGTTTTAGAACACTTACTCATTCAAGGGTTTTTCTTAATTTTTTACTATTTTCTACATTGTAGAATAATAGTGAAGACATCAAAACTATGAAATAACACATCATGTATCATGTATCATGTAGTAACCAGAAAACTGATTGGCTCAAACGCATTAAGAAGGAAAGAAATTCCACAAATTAACTTCTAAGAAGGCACACCTGTTAATTTAAATGCATTCCAGGTGACTACCTCATGAAGCTAGTTGAGAGAATGCCAAGAGTGTGCAAAGCTGTCATCAAGGCAAATGGTGGCTATTTGAAGAATATAAAATATAAAATATATTTGTGTTATTTCATAGTTTTGATGTCTTCACTATTATTCTACAAAGTAGAAAATAGTAAAAATAAAGACAAATCCTTGAATGAGTAGGTGTGTCCAAACTTTTGACCGGTAGTGTATGTGTGCTATTTCTATGCTTCCCGTTCTTAAGTTTCGTTTTTTCTTTCAGGTTTGTACACCAGCTTAAAAAATCTGAAAAGACAAGAGCTGTGTTTGAATACTCATACTAACCGCACTAACCATACTATTTGTGACGTAAATTGAGTATGTAGTATGCTTATTGGTCATACTATGGATACAGTTAGTATGCCAAAAGATCCCGTGATGTCGTACTACATTCGCCAAAATATGAAGTATACAAGCAGTGGACACTATTTCCGTGTTTTCCCATAATGCAATTCTTCAGAAAATGAGCGTTGCTTCACAACTTTTTCCGATTTGAAGAAAATGGCAGAAAATATGCAGCTGAAGTCCGACGAGAGCGGACACAAATTCATTGCTTTAACTAATTATGACAAATGTTAAGAAAATGTTGAGCAATGTAATAATCTAATAACTTTTCAAATAAGTTACACGTTACGTTGGCTAACAATTTGTTAGTTATGCTATCCTTACGAACCGCATAGCATATCATTACAGCAGTATGTACCGGTATGTTAGCTAGTTACCTAACGTTAGTTGGCTACTAATACATCGAACTTGCCAGTATATTATTTATATGCTATCTAATTACCCAACGTTTATTGACTTGATTATTCACGTCATTCTTAGCTTAACTAAATGGTATAGTCTTTGTGCGTTCTCAATGGATATTGTTAATTCAGGTGCGTTCGTAATTCGCTCTGGCTATCTACTCCGATTTCAGAGTACTCTTGTCTGAGTGTGCCAAAGCTGTTGAATTTACGAACGCTCAACACCCGTTGAATATGGCCGGTGTCAGTAAACGTTGGCAAAAAAGCTTAATTAAATTGTTGCCAGGCAGCAGCACAGTTAGTCATAAACGCTCTGGATAACATTAAAAAAACTGCCTAACCAGCTCTGCTAGTGCGAGTAAAATGGTCAGAGTGAGTTGTTCTCTCATTTGTGTCTGGAAGTAGCTAGCAAGCTAGCCAACTTTAGCCAGTTAGCCTGGGTGCTTGACTGCTGTTGTGAGGTCAGAACGCATGGATCAACCCTACTCCTCGTCCAGAGCGTCCAGTGTACGCTCTGAATTTACGAATGGACAATTTGACAACGCTCTGAATTTACGAACACCCAGAGCACACTCTGAGCGCTCTCTGGCACTCCAGATTGAATTTACGAACACACCCGAAGTCCTAAGATGTCTAGCTAGTAATTTGTTATGCTAACAAGCTTGCAAGAGATTGCATAGCAACAGCATCAACTTCAGGTAGACAGGCGAAGCGCTAGTACGCTCAACTGAAAGGATACCGTTTGTTTACAGTATACTAAAATGAACAAATAGTATATAGTATGTAGTATATACTCATTAAGTATTTAGTATACATTATGTTAGTATGGGTATTCAAACACAGCTCATATTTGTGGTTATGGAAAATGTATTTCACAGCAGTTTAAATGGTGTAATGATTCTCTACACTATACTTGCTTGTTTGGTCACATAAACTGAAATTAGGCAAACTACTAGAATTTTAGCAACCAGGAACTGGCGGAGCAATTTCTGCATAAGTGCACCTTTGATTTACATCAGACTTATCTGGATGATTCGTATAGAAAAGGTAGAGGATTACATTTTATAACAATACACACAACTCAAAGCCAACCATCTTAGTCAAAAAGAGCACGAGACTACTTTCGCTCCGTGATCAACAGTTGGCTTTAGACTTCAAGGAAGGTGTGATGTAACCATTGTACTCCAGCCAACATGCTATGGGCGAGTTTCACATCCACTACACACAAAACTACAAATACTATACTGATTACATCCCCACTGAGGGTGAATATTATCTTTATTTGCAGGCAGTTAAAGCTAGAATCCTTAATTGAAACAACAACAAAGCAAACATCCCACCTGTTTTTGGAAAAAGCTGAGGGATGGGCCTGGAGAAATGTAACCACTCGAATTCATACAGAGCTATGGATGTAATGACTGGCCATTCGTGATATCAAAATGATAGTTTTAACCATGTCTATACAGGCTATACAGTGTTTGTTTACATTTACAATGTTTATAAACAGTGGGGGTAAATCAAGCTTATATTTAGGTTGTGATGGAGTACGACATTTGAACTAAGCTCATGAGGCATTTATAAGTTACAGTATATTCTTCAAGAATCAATGGGTATATATCAATAAATTATAAAGATGGAACTAAGGACTCTAGCTTTAATTTCAAGTTACCTTAAAATGTTAGGTTGTAAATATACTTACGTGTGCACTCGTGCAATGTTTTCCTTGTACTCCTGCTGCCATGCTTCGTCACTGTGGTGACGCTGAAGGTGTATTTTGTGTCTGGTTCAAGATCAGAAAGAACAATGCTGTTGTTTTTAGTCTCTTTCTCTTTTTCATCTCCATTGCAAGAGTAGGTAATGATAAATGAATAAGACACTTCTTCCATGTTCGCTGGTATGTCCCAACACAATGTGATAGATTTTCTTTTCACCTCTTCAACCCACAAATTCCCAGGAGAAGATGGTTCTGAAAAATAGCAAATATCATGGTATTCGTTCAGATAAAATGTGGTTAAGTGAGAAGAAAATGTATCCTTTCTTACATAAGGATGGTGTTATTCATATTTTCACACAGTGAAACTTACTATACTTTCCAAATGCTAACACCAATTACACAGGTATAACTGTTTCAAACTGAATTGATGTTTGTCATTAACTGCCATTGTATATTAAAGTGAATATATCGTTTCATAAGAAACCATGGTGTTAACAACACTTTATGATAAGGGTATCAATAACACCTTTATGAGTGTTGCTGTATCATTCATAACAACCTTCATAACACATTTATTCAACATCATTTATTCATTTTTAAAAGAAAAGTCCCTTTTAATTAAATTGTATTTATACATTGTCAAATTTGTTATTTTATTTTTTACTGTCACAGTACACAAACTCCTGACACACTTCACGCAACAGAATGGGAGCAGCACAGGGTAAGCCTTACAACATTCCTCTTGTAGCAGTTTAGGGGTTACACGTCTTACTCACGGCCAGAATGGAAGTAGGGGATGGCACCAGCCCTAGATCTTAAATATACATAAGATATCTGTGCTTGACTGAGCTCGCCTGGCACAATGGAATCAATGGAATGGTCCCAAAAGTGCGAACCTCACATGCCCATCTGTCACTCCAGACAGGCTCAGGCAAACGCTCAAAGTATTTAAAAGATTTCAAATATTATTTCAGCCAAGGTCTTGATGGAATCTTAGCTGACACCTGAAGACTTTTAGCTCCACAAACTAACGCCTAGTCTTTATCTCAACCAAAGATACTACACCCAGGGATGGTGCCATCTCCTACTCCCACTGTGGCATTGAGCAAGGCATTTAACCCCTTAACTACTACAAGGGTAATGCTGTAAGGTAAGGCTGACCCTGTACTGGTCCTTTTGGTGCCTGTTGCGTGAATAGTAGTCTCGGAAATCGCAGACCTAGGGCAACAGCACTAGGTCTGGGAATCATGTTGGACATTCATGGTCATAGCTTCATGTGATCCAGCTTTTGTCAGAATGTACTACTCGAAGCAGGTTTAGGAGATTTAAAGCCGCAGGTTAGGATAATTAAAGTGGCAGGTTAGGAAATTAGTTAAAGGTTAGGAAAATGGTTATAGTTAGTAAAAATGCAAAAATATATCAAATAAAACTTTTGACGTAAATTTCACAAAAGCTGGATCCCATCTAGACATGACCGACATTCATGGCAGGATACTTTTTTTTGGGGGGAGGGTGTTCTTCAGACAGGCAACTCTCCCAACAAATCACAAGTTTGGATAGGCAGGGCTTAAAAATGATCTCCTCGGAAACACGACAGACGCGGACACAATGTGGACGCATGCAAACTACTCACTTAAGCAATACACTCATTGAAAATATCCTCTGCCAAATTGATGTTGGTCTAAGTACAGACATGTATGCTGGAACATTGGTATTTGTGGGAGGAAACCCATCTGTCTAGAGACTATGTGAATGGTGTCTCAGGAGGATGGTTATTGTGACAGTAAAATAATAATAATTGTCAAATGGATTAATACAATGTTATCTCAGGGGACTTTTGTTTTGAAAACACATTATGAATGATGTTGAATAAATGTGTTATGAAGGTTTTTATGAATGATACTGCAACACATGAAGGGGTTATGACTAGTTTCATAAAAGTGTTATGTATACCACCTTCATATAAAGTGTTACTGATTGAACACATTCACAAAACCCTTATAAAACCTTTATGAGTGTTACATTGTCAGTCATAACAACTCTCATAACACATTATTCAACCTTATTGAGTTCTCAAATAAAAGGCACTTTTCATTACAGTGAGCCGGATGGTTGCTGGTATGGTGTTACTGTCTGGTGACTGGGTTTGTGTTATCTCCTGGACTGCAACAGTCATTATACCCCTTTCAAGTGAAGTGTTACCGATTGGAGTTGGAGTGTCATGACTTGTGATTTTGGCATAAAATTAGAAGATGCATAATAAAGGAAACTCTTTGGGACCATACTTGTGAACTTTTGCTTAGACCATAGTTTAGGGGACCGAGTGGCGCAGTGCACTGCAGTGCTAGAGGCGTCACTACAGACCCGGGTTCGACACCAGGCTGTATCACAACCGGCCGTGATCGGGAGTCCCATAGGGCGCCGCACAATTGGCCCAGAGTTGTCCGGGTTAGGGGAGGGTTTGGCCGGGGTAGGTCGTCATTGTAAATGAGAATTTGTTCTTAACTGACTTGCCTAGTTAAATAAAGGTTTAAAAGAAAATGCAATGACTGACCAATCCATGATATCAAAATGATAGTTTTAACCTTGTTTTGAGGCTATACAGTGTTTGTTTACATTTACATTGTTCACAAACATTGGAGTACTGTATTTTGGGTTCTGATGGGGTAAGCTTATGAGGCATTTATAAGTTATATTCTTTAAGAATCAATGGGTATATAATGTATTTATAAGTCCATAATTGGATGTAGCAACTAAGGATTCCAGCTTTAAACATCCTATACACTGTTACAAAAAGACACTGCATAAACATTGCAAAGGTGGGTGGGTTTTTACTTGAATTCATCCTTACTGCTGTTATTCTACACAAAAACCTTAAAAGCTTTGGCAAATGTCCTTGAAAAACGTAATAGTCCAAATTGAGAAAAAGAAACTCACCTGTGAATGTTTGCATTGAAACAAACTGGCTAAGCTGTCCATTGTCCCAAATCGTTGCCACTCTGATTTCATATTTTGTACCTGGCATGAGGTTTTCGATATTAATAGGGCCTGAGTCTTCCTCAACACGGTGGAGGTCAGAATCAACATCTGAAAGCCACATGACTTTAAACTTGTGTGGCTGTTCATCCAGTCCATCAGGAGGCCTCCAGCTCAGAGATATAGAGCTCTCCGTGGCTGAATGTACTGTTATGTACGCTGGTGGTGGAATGTCTGAAAAACAGATGAACGGACGGATGGATGGACACACACAGACATAAGATAAAACGTAAAACAATAAAATGCGTTATTGCAAATGCGTTTTTGAAACACTTATAAAAATACCTCTAGCTCTGGCTTAGAATGTTTGTTTCTCAAAGAAATGTGTTTTATATATACATAATCACTACATCGTAGAGAAGGCAGGACATACAATAAATGCTACCAAGAGATACATCTGGGTCTAAGGAGATTAACTATGTATTGTTTGACATGAGTTTAGGACCTGTTGCATTTTTGCAACCGGGGGTCTCACAGGGTTAAAAGCCCATTAAAGCCAATTCAGTATTAATTGGGCTATCTTAAACGATGTGATTTCCAAGCCGGGTTGTAAATAAGCAGCAGCTGCTCGTCTGACTGCATTCTAACTTTGCTCTCAAACCTGTGTTTAGTCTAAACTTCATAAATCGCTATTTTTAAATATGTAGAAAATGGTATGTAGACAATGGTATGGTGATGGAAATAATACATTTGAGGTTAATAAGCAGGGTAACGGGTTGTAATAACGTACAGTAATAAACCAGACAATGGTATTTAGAAATTGGTATGGTGCTGGAGATTATTAATTCAAGTTTAAAATGCGGGGTAACGTTTTATGATAACGTCCAGAAATAATTGAACATTTCTAATTAAATCACGCTGCAGATGAGTTTTACGTTATTTTTTTGCACAGATCTGTGCTCTTTTGCACAACAAAAAATGTTGACCCTCATTCTTCAAACTCAAGTATATTTCATTGAAACTACTGGAGAAATTGAATACTGTGGCTTTAAGGGTACTTTCTTACTTGTGGTGAAGGTTGTTGACACAGGTTGACTTTCCCTCCCATTTTCCAGCACAGTCCTGACAGTGACTGAGTAATCAGTGGCAGGTTGCAGGTCGGGGAAAGTGATGCTAGTTGAGGATTCGGTTTTGGTGCAACTTTTATTCCCTGGACAGTTGTAGGAAATCAGGTAGTGGAATTGGATTTGGTCTATTCCAAAAGGCTGGTGCCAGCTCAAAGTAGCTGATGTGGTATTTACTGAGTCAACATTCAGCTTGTCTGGAGCAGGGAGTACTATGGGAAAGATGTATTTTTATGAACATAAAGCAACTACTTGAAGGTGGCAGTTGATACATGCCAAAATGTTGGTATAACTGGAAGTAATATAGAGCATTCCTTTCACATTCCCTTATACCTTACCACACCAGTCTGCTAAGTGTGATGATGATGATGACTTGCAATAAGAAGAGGGAGATTTCTTACCTGTTAAGATGGTTGTACACACAGGTTCACTCGGTTCCCCACTGGTCAGCACAGTTGAGACACTGACAGTGTATTCAGTTCCCAGTTGAAGGCCAGATAATGTTTTCTGGCATTCCTCAGTATTGGCTGCCCGGTGCTCTGTTTCTGGGCTGCTGTAGGAAACGAGGAAGCGCTGTAGGATTTGTTCCAGTCCAGGAGCCTTGGTCCAGCTGAGGGCAAGGAGGTCGCTTCTAATTGGTTTATCTTTAAGTCTCTGGGTGCAGGGACAACTAGGATGAAAATAATTTGTAAACAAAAAGCAAATTTTGTCATTTTGGATGCAACTTATTTTAAAAAAACTATTTCAACATATTTTTGTTGTAATGTTTTGGGCCGAACTGGTGTCATTTGTGCAAAAGTTAATAATTGAAGAGTTGCAGAGTGGCTTTCAAATGACATAAAACAATTATTTGAAGTGTTTTATTCCTTAATTAGGCTATTTTCTCTTGAACCATATGGTTTTTCCACTAAAACCCCATTAACAATATGGGCACAGATATAAAGAATCTGAAAAATATGTATAATATTCAAAATAAAATAATTAAATTATAAATTTGACCAAAACCTAAAGTTATTGTACCTGTGGTTACAGATGCTGAGACCCATTTGCTATAGCTGTCATTTTCTCCCTCTGTGGCCACATGCAACTGGTACTTTTTACCAGGCTGGAGTCCATTTATTTCAAGATGACGTGTGTCTTTCACTTTCTGCCTGCTCTCTTTCCCGTCACAGCCCCAGGTTACTCTGTACTTATGAGGTCCTGGCAGTCCCTCAGGAGAACCCCAGCGCAGAGACACAGTCTGACATCACTGACAGGAACTGGATTTCCCCAGGAGGGGGCAGCACTGGTAAAGGAGAGAATTGGAAGCAAATGCATCAATACCTAGTCCTGAGCAGGGCCATGTACAGACCTTTTGGGGGGCATGGTATGTGCTCAAACTAAAAAAAGGGAACCCCTAAAAAAAAATCCACAACCGTGGTAACAGACTCCTTGAGCAATGATTACAAAAAGAGGGAAATGCAGCACCATCTGATGAGTAAATCATTGTTGCTAAACTATTTTGAACTGGAATAAATGCTGCACTTGACCAACACAATTCAAGTCAAATTAGAAGAGCGTAAGAAATACTGTAGCCTACCATTACTATATCCAACCCAACTCCATTTGTTGCCACTATCATATATCCCAGTGGTTTTGAAACTTTTTGACCCACAACCCCCAAAAAGGCGTGGCACAAAACCTGCGACCCCTGCGCACGCAAATGCACATGTGCAATAAAACCATGAAAAGTACACCTAAACTAAGATCTGGAGTTTGGAGGGTGTTTGAATGTAAACCCAATGTTAGTCCCGTGTAGCCCAGTTGGTAGAGCATGGCGCTTGCAACGCCAGGGTTGTGGGTTCGTTTCCCACGGGGGGCCAGTATGAAAAAAATAAAAAATAAAAAATGTATGCACTCACTAACTGTAAGTCGCTCTGGATAAGAGCATCTGCTAAATGACGTAAATGTAAGTACTTTAATACACAGAATGTGTTTTAAAACATAAATTAAGTACTCTGAAACACCTAAAGTGGTTCTTCAACCTGAATATTGGTGTTTTTAAGAGTGTTGTGAATGTTTTTTCATACAATCAATGGTTTAGAAATGCAAATGGTTAATAGCCTAAATATTGATTGATGATAAGGGCCTATGAAGAATGTTTTGTGGAATTCCACCTTTATTTTTTCAATGCTTAATTTAGAAAGATTAGAAACAGGAGGGGCAGTAAGATGGTACATTTAATTGGAATTTTACCCACTCAACCACACTACAAGAAATTATTCTGGGGTAAAAATAAACATATATTTAATAAAAATGAATGCACGTTGTGCAGAGCCTGTAGTCTAGCGGTAACGCACCCGGCTTAGACGCTTCACCCCTCTCCCCACCGAAGACGGGATTAAATTCCCCACTCCAACCCTTCAATCTGTTTCTCCCACCTATCTGTATCCCCTCTGTTATTTCATAACTGTCTCAATAAAGTGTCAAAATACCGACGCAATATATATTTTTTAAATTATGCAAGTCATTTCAATGATTTGTTAATTTTCTTTTACCAAAATAATGAAAAAATAAATCAAACTTAATGTGTTCCTCAAAAGTAAGTATCTTTCATGAGGATAACCAATGAGTGAAAATTGAGTGATTGAACTCATTGGAAGTCTGGTTTTAATCACTTTGCATTTCCTATCTTGCCATGCAACTCTGTTTTTAGAGGATTGCGGGTCATTCAAAATGTTTAGACTTCTTGATTCTTTTACACAGTGTTGTATGCATGTTTGACGAAAGAAAAGTATCTCTCTATATTAGTATCACATTTGTTGTGCCATGGGATGTAATGGATCATGATGAACGAATATCAGAACTGTGAGGCAAATTGACGTTCAATGAGTACAGCACCCATTCCCACAATCATAATTGTCAACGGAAAAGGCAAGTGCAGAATCCTCAATTCTTGCATTTCAACCTCCAGTTACTGCTGGTGGTTTGAACACTGTGCTTGACAATGCCTGCAAAAACAGCATCAAATGGCAAATGATCAAATACACATCTGTACACAGATAGTTTGAATTCAATAATGTTGCACTGCCCACAAATTCTGAAATTTTTTACTACAGTAGCCTACTTACAATGGTAGCCTTACACACTTCAATATAAAATATCAACTGTTTTTCACCTGTATGTTAGAAACCGCACTCCCTTTCTGATGCATAGAGCAAAATACCTGAAATAATAGCCTATCTACTAGGCCCAATTATATGAGAGATGAGCATGGTAATTTGTTGTAGACTACTTCTGGAAAATTAACCATTGAAGACCAAATAAAACATTATGGCCAGAAAAGGTGAGGAATTGATTCTGCAATGGTTATGAAAATATGTATTACGTGTTATGTTTCTAAATGAAATATTGTGTATTCAATGTGAAATTACAGTATTCAGACAGTAGCTTAGCCAACAAACGTCAATGGAAAAGTTGAACCGTCTGTTCTACGTTAAACTGCGCTCGAATCGGATGGCATAGACTAGAGCAAAATACTTGAAATAGCTAATCTACTTAATACTGTGAAGTGGGTCCAATTAAATGAGAGATACGACGAATGGTATTCTGACTTCTTGTATGCCTATAGGCTACTTCGCGAGTATGAAACCATAACAGAAAAGGTGTGGAATTTATTCTGCAATGATCATGAAAATGAAATAAATTATAAACCAAGTAATAGATGCCTATTTCTAATTATTTTAGAATGCAAAGATAAAATAGATTTTCTCTCTTCTCACTAATGGCAAATTATTGAATCTTGTTATTATATATATACAGTGAGGGAAAAAGGTATTTGATCCCCTGCTGATTTTGTACGTTTGCCCACTGACAAAGACATGATCAGTCTATAATTTTAAATGGTAGGTTTATTTAAACAGTGAGAGACAGAATAACAACAAAAAAATCCAGAAAAACGCATGTAAAAAATGTTAGAAATTGATTTGCATTTTAATGAGGGAAATAAGTATTTGACCCCTCTGCAAAACATGACATAGTACTTGGTGGCAAAACCCTTGTTGGTAATCACAGAGGTCAGACGTTTCTTGTAGTTGGCCACCAGGTTTGCACACATCTCAGGAGGGATTTTGTCCCACTCTTCTTTGCAGATATTCTCCAAGTCATTAAGGTTTCGAGCCTGACGTTTGGCAACTCGAACCTTCAGCTCCCTCCACATAATTTCTATGGGATTAAGGTCTGGAGACTGGCTAGGCCACTCCAGGACCTTAATGTGCTTCTTCTTGAGCCACTCCTTTGTTGCCTTGGCCGTGTGTTTTGGGTCATTGTAATGCTGGAATACCCATCCACGACCCATTTTCAATGCCCTAGCTGAGGGAAGGAGGTTCTCACCCAAGATTTGACGGTACATGGCCCCGTCCATTGTCCCTTTGATGCGGTGAAGTTGTCCTGTCCCCTTAGCAGAAAAACACCCCCAAAGCATAACGTTTCCACCTCCATGTTTGACAGTGGGGATGGTGTTCTTGGGGTCATAGGCAGCATTCCTCCTCCTCCAAACACGGCGAGTTGAGTTGATGCCAAAGAGCTCGATTTTGGTCTCATCTGACCACAACACTTTCACCCAGTTCTCCTCTGAATCATTCAGATGTTCATTGGCAAACTTCAGACGGGCCTGTATATGTGCTTTCTTGAGCAGGGGGACCTTGCGGGCACTGCAGGATTTCAGTCCTTCACGGCGTAGTGTGTTACCAATTGTTTTCTTGGTGAGTATGGTCCCAGCTGCCTTGAGATCATTGACAAGATCCTCCCGTGCAGTTCTGACTGATTCCTCACCGTTCTCATGATCATTGCAACTCCACAAGGTGAGATCTTGCATGGAGCCCCAGGCCGAGGGAGATTGACAGTTATTTTGTGTTTCTTCCATTAGCGAATAATTGCACCAACTGTTGTCACCTTCTCACCAAGCTGCTTGGCGATGGTCTTGTAGCCCATTCCAGCCTTGTGTAGGTCTACAATCTTGTCCCTGACATCCTTGGAGAGCTCTTTGGTCTTGGCCATGGTGGAGAGTTTGGAATCTGATTGATTGATTGCTTCTGTGGACAGGTGTCTTTTATACAGGTAACAAACTGAGATTAGGAGCACTCCCTTTAAGAGTGTGCTCCTAATCTCAGCTCGTTACCTGTATAAAATACACCTGGGAGCCAGAAATCTTTCTGATTGAGAGGGGGTCAAATACTTATTTCCCTCATTAAAATGCAAATCAATTTATAACATTTTTGACATGCGTTTTTCTGGATTTTTTTGTTGTTATTCTGTCTCTCACTGTTCAAATAAACCTACCATTAAAATTATGGACTGATCATTTCTTTGTCAGTGGGCAAACGTACAAAATCAGCAGGGGATCAAATACTTTTTTCCCTCACTGTATGTATATATTAGTTTTTTTGTTGTTGTTATGAATAAGCGTGACATCATATTCCCCCCAAAAATACTAGTCTGCTTGCCTGCTTGCAATGCATAACTTCAACTACTAGAAACGGTGGTATGCATGTTCTAAAGTTTGCGGGAATGTACAGTGCATTCGGAAAGTATTCAGACCCCTTGACTTTTTCCACATTTTGTTACGTTACAGCCTTATTCTAAAATGGATTAAATTAATTTTTTCCCCCTCATCAATCTACCGGAAATATCATATTTACATAAGTATTCAGACCCTTTACTCAGTAATTTGTTGAAGCATCTTTGGCAGAGATTACAGCCTCTAGTCTTCTTGGGTATGACGCTACAATCTTGGCATGCTTGTATTTGGGGAGTTACTCCCATTCTTCTCTGCAGATCCTCTCAAGCTCTGTCAGGTTGGATGGGGAGCGTCACTGCACAGCTATTTTCAGGTCTATCTAGAGATGTTAGATCAGGTTCAAGTCCGGGCACTGGCTGGGCCACTCAAGGACATTCAGAGACTTGTCCCGAAGCCACTCCAGCGTTGTCTTGGCTGTGTGCTGAGGGTTGTTGTCCTGTTGGAAGGTGAACCTTCGCCCCAGTCTGAGGTCCTGAACTCTCTGGAGTAGGTTTTCATCAAGGATCTCTCTGTACTTTGCTCCGATCATCTTCCTTCGATCCTGACTAGTCTCCCAGTACCTGCCGCTGAAAAACATCCTCACAGCATGATGCTGCCACCACCATGCTTCACCGTAGGTATGGTGCCAGGTTTCCTCCAGACGTGACGCATGGCATTCAGGCCAAAGAGTTCAATCTTGGTTT